CCCCCCCGGCCGTAGACGGGGTTGGCCGCTGCCAGGACGCTGCAGCGGGAGTTGAGGCGGGCATGGATGCCGGCCTTGGCGATGGTGACGCGGCCCTGCTCCATCACCTCGTGGATGGCCGTGCGGTCGATATCGGACATCTTGTCGAACTCGTCAATGCACACCACTCCCCGGTCAGCCAAAACCATGGCCCCCGCTTCCAGGCGCCGCTCGCCTGGGATGGAGTGGGACAAAAAGATCAACCACCATCCGGCAGCCCCACATGTGTCCCTCCAGGCTGTCTCCCTCCACGCATGACAAGGCAACATCTCAAAGAGCAGCAGCAACCTTCAGGGCTGCCCATCTCCTACTCAACTTGACACTCAGGGCAAGGTGCAAGCCCATGAGGAAGACAACAAGATCCAGGCTGCTGCTAGCCCTTACATGGGGTGCACACCAAGTAGAAGAGGAGAAGACCACCACCTAACAGAGGTGGAGAAAATACCCCATGAAGGTACCACTATAATTACCATAAAAAGCTTCTGGATGGATCAAGTCCTGCAAGCGCCACTGCAGAACCAACAGCAGCCCTGGATCTTGTGAAGTCCCTCCAGAGTGGTACCAAGCATCCCTCTGTCACCTCCCACCAGGAACCAGCCCACCTCTCACCAGTTTCTTGGTCCGTGGTGACGGCGGCTGTCAGGCCAACACCAGAGGAGCCTCTGCCAGTGGTGGGGATGGCGCGGGGAGCGGTGCTGAGCACGTACCGCAGCAGCTGAGACTTGGCAACGGAAGGGTCTCCTGAAACGGAGAAGATTGAATTTAGTAATCATACATCACCTGGATAATGTGACCAGCTTGGGGGAAAAGAAGACGGGGTTAGAGAAGTGGGTTTGTTCAGATAGGAAGGTGATCAGATGATCTCCTTGCTTCCTCAAAGGCCCAATGGGAAAAAATAGAGAAGAAGCAGTCAGAGTTTTGAGAGGTGCATGGTGACAAGACCAGAGGCAATGAAGGCAACTTGGAATACACAAAATCCCAATTGGATGGTAAAAAGAAATCTCCTTGAGGGTGGTGAAACTCTGTGATAGCTGCCCACAGACGTTGTGAGATCCCATCCCTGGAGATGTGCAGAACCAACCTGACAAGCTCCAGAGCAACCTCATCTACCAGTGCCACTGGCTCTGCCCTGCACACACGTGTGGACCAGAGGCCTCCAGAGGTCCCATCTGACCTCCATTACTCCATGAAAATAAGTCCAGGAAAATGCCCCTTCACCTCATCCCCCAACACCAACGGAGGGTGCCTCTGCCCAGCCCCTCCAGACCTATCAGCAAGATGTTGATGTCTCCTCGGATGCGGCTCCCGTTCTCCAGGACCTTCTCCACCCCTCCGAGCAGCATGCAGAGAATGGCCTTCTTGATATATTCGTGCCCGTGGATGCTGGGAGCCAAGGATTTTGCCAGCTGGTCAAAGATACCCTAAGGCAGAAACAGCAAAGCAGAGCTCGTCAGATGGACTGCAGCAAACAAGAACAAGGAGCAATGCTCTACAAGTCCATTTCAGAACAAAAAGGAGCTTACTCCCATCACAGACCACATGGATGAGGTTATTTAGAAAGGAGAGGACCGTTTGCCAGGGTTTTCTTACAATGGGGCTTTGAAGTCCCTGACCATCACAGTCACCCAAGCAAGCACTGGAAGCAGTAACCTCCGTGAAAGAAGGGCTTTCTCCTCTCCACACTATGAAGTAAACGTCTGAGCAAAAGACTGGGCTGGGGCAGACCTCCATATCTCATTCTGGGTTTGAAGAGGAAAGAGGGAGATGTTTCTCCTGCAGAGGAACTTCTCTGGCAACCATCTGGCAGGGTCAGGACACACAGCACGGACAGATCTCTGTCTCAACAGCACAGCTGGCAGGAAGGACACTGCCAGCAGTGCAGAAGCCACAACGAAAAAAACCCCAAAACCTGATAAAAGTCTAAGCAGAAAATGCAAAGAAAACAAGTGGGAAAGTCCAGCAAAGTTGCTCAGAGGGTTGAGGAGTTATTTGTCACCCAACAAGACACGTGCCAAGCCTTAAAGCTGCTCAAGCTGAAATCTCATGTTCGGATACAAGCCTGCCTTCTACACATAACATTAAATACCTTGGAGCGACTCTTGCTGAATCTCTTAATCTTGGCCACATCAGCAGCTGAGTAGACAGGTCGGACGTCTTTGCTCATCTGCTTCACGTGACAGGCAATGAGGATGGTCCTGGAGAAGGGACACAGCCACCATCAGCTCTGGAAACCCCACAGAGCCCATGGGTCACAGCAACAACACAGCAGAAACTTCCACAGGGTCATCCTTTGCTCTAGGAAGTCCTGGAGGAGGCTGGAAAGCTCCAAGAGCTGTAGCCCCCTCTATCTGACTGTGCTGGGCCATCAGTGGAGCATCTTTAAGAGCATTTGACCTCCTCAGTGCAGAGCTGCAGTTCACAGCTACACACTGATGCTACGGAGAAGGGTGCAAGTGATTTAAGCCAACGTTTGACCCAGGTCTGTGATGTCCACTTGCCTGCCCTAGACCTTACCTTCCAGAGATGTGACCTGACTAAAAAGGATGAAGTCAAGCCAAAAGAAAGCTCACCTGAACGTCCCTGAAGTGTAACCCCCTTTCTTTCCCGGCAGGCAGCGGTACGTCCCCACCACCTGGATGCGGTCCCCAGGCTTCACCTTGTCCACCAGGTCGTCATCCAGAATGACATCCACCGAGCGGGGCAGCTGCCCGGCCGGGGCCTTCTCAGGCATCTCCTGGATGGTGATGGACTGATGGTCCTTGTAGACCGAGAGCCCAAACTCTGTCTCCAGGGGGTTGTTCTCTTCATCCTAGAGGAAGAACCCCAATAAAGACTAGCACCATTTTTCAACACCCATCACTGCTGGTATGTTAGGTCTCTCCAAACCCTGTCCATTCTGCAGGCAGTGGTGACACACCACCCATGCAGCCTGCTATGTGCAATGTGGACAAAGCTCAGGTCAACCTTCTTCCCTTCCCAAATACAGGGAGAATCCTCCAGGTGTTGTACTACACTGCCCCAGGACTCAGCAGCAACAAGACTGGCTGAGAAACCCCACTACAACAGAACCAAGATCATAAATAACAGCTGCACTAGTGGGTCTAGTGGCCTTGTATCCAACAGAGGCTTTCTTCACACATTTCTGGTAGCCTTCTGGGACTGTCACATGTGTGATGTGTTCTCTCTATAATTCATGGGCTACGTTGGCAGAAGGACAAGGGATACACAAGGATTTGAGACCCTGAGCTGGCACATTGTCCTCAGAGGAACCTGTGGATGCTCCCCACAAAGCTGCTTCACCTCACCTTTGTAGGGTAGACGACACTAGATGGGAAAGCATCCAGGGAGGTCATGTCCGTGTATCGGCGCTCAATAGTCTTCTTGGTCGCTGGGCAGTAATGGACGCTCCGGACAACCTTCGGACGAACCAGAGAGCCTGAGGTTGGAAGACAGAGGAGTTAGGAGCAGGGATGTCCCATCCCTCTGCCAGCAGACAGACCCCAAAAGGGTCTCCACCACTTAACTGCACTTGGGAGACAGCTGCTAGCAACCATGGCCAGGATCCGCTCAGCTCAAAGACCATCCCAACACTCAAGGCTTTCTGCAAAGTCCCCTGCTCCCTCTGCCCAGGCTGCAAGGATGCACCATGGCTCCTGGTTTACTCCAGCCCCTCCACAGCAAAAACCCAGACCCACCACCCCTGAAGCTCCCTGGATCTTCCCCCAGTCTCACATTTTGTCACGATGCCCTCCACACAGACAATGGAGCTGAGGAAACGGGCTGTCAGCGTCCGTGGTGACACGTGCTTGGAGCCGAAGCTGCCCTCCAGCCCGATGTAGAAGTCCTCATACTGCTTGGCATAGGTGGCATCAACAGAAGCAACAAAGTCCTTCAGGGCACGCTGGAAGGCGATCAGCTCCTCAAAGGCATTGCTCAGGAGCCTGCAAGAGAGGGAGGTGACAATGCAGACCTGTCAGGAGCCCTTTCTGCCTTCCTTCTCAAACATTTTTCGTATGCCTCCATGTGCTCCACAAGCTTACTAAAAGCACAACGTAAAAAAAACAAAAAACCCATCATAGAATGTATTGGATTGGAAGGGACCTTTACAGCTCATCCAGTCCAACCCCTGCAGGGAGCAGGGACATTGGTACCAGATCAGGTTGCTCACAGCCCCATCAAAGCTGACCTTGAACATCTCCAGGGATGGGGCCTCCACCACATCTCTGGGCAACCTGCGGCAATGATCTACCACCCTCATATTGAAGAACTTTTTCCTAATACCCAACCTAAATTTGCCCTTTTTTAGTTTAAAACCATTCCCCTCGTCTTATTGCTACATGACCTTGTAAACAGTTCCTCATAGCTCTGTGTCAGGTCCACTGCCACCAACAGCCAGGAGCATCTGAAATACCTCACATGCCATAGCCATAGAATTTAGTCATAGAATGGTTGGGGTTGGAAGGGTCCTCAAAGCCCCCCCAGTCCAACCCCCATGGGCAGGGACACCTCCACCAGCCCAGGCTGCTCCAAGCCCCGGCCAACCTGGCCTTGGGCACTGCCAAGGAGAGGGCACCCACAGCTTCTCCGGGCAACCTGGACCAGGGCCTCACCACCCTCACAATAAAGAATTTCTTCCTAATATCTAGGACCTACAAAACCAGGCCTGGATATCTAAAGTCTACCTAGGACACGGTGCCAAAGGCAAACACCACCACCCCATACCAACCGGCTGGCCCTCTTCTCGTTCTTCCGCCGCAGGTCGTTGATGCTGACGAGGAGCCGGTACTGGTTATCACTGATCATGTCCCGGACTTTGCCGTGGTAAATCCCTTGGTCTTCCTGCAAGGGAGGGGAGGGGAAAAGACCCCAAAAATTCACTTTGCATGACCACCCGTCTGAGATAACTCTGCCTTCCGCCTCCCCCTTCCCCCTGAAGTCTATTCCCACTCAACTTCCTTTACCTCACCGACCCACCATGGGGAGGGAGCACAGGGACCAGTTCCGCCACAACCCCAAGGGGTATGGAAGGGGGAGGATGCAGCAACCCCTTCCCCCAGTGCAGCCCC